AACCAGATTTCATTAGCATCAACTCCAGAGTTATATTAGAAGTTGTATGAATGCAGTGACTTAATAAATACATTATTAACATTTATAGCTTTTCTTTTCTTTACAGATTTATTTTTCCAACATTAACTTTATTGAAAACATTTTTACCATTTTGTTCCCTTATCTTCATAATTTCATCATCCCAGAATTTTTTTCATCTTTCTCAAAGAATTTTTACATTTTCATTAAGAGAATTCTCAAAGAAACAAAAAAAAATCTACCTGAGAAGGAAGCAAGGCACTGTTTTTAAACATCAAGAACTGATTATGTTTCTGGCAGCCTAGCCTTAATAAATTTGACAATCCACTAACAAAACCTTTTATTTTTAAATATTTTATGCCTGGCTACATGAACCTTTCTCTGTTGAATATGGCAGATGAGCGAACAATGCTCAACTAAACTGTAACAATTTTTGTCTGGTTACAAAAAAAAAAAACATGAAGTTTATCATTATTCAGATGAAATTTTCACTAATCTGGATGTCAAAGGATTCTCTGGAAGGAGCTCATAATACAAAGAATACAATTATAAACTCCATCACTTTTAGATCAAGACCAGCTTTTAATATTAGCTAATAGTGGTTTCCTTTCAAATTTAATTTAGTTCAAATGCGAAGAGTTATGGCACAAACAAATTCTGAGCATATGTTTAATGTCATCAACCAGGTAAGTTATTCTTACAATTCAAAATCTACCTGGAGAGCAAGAGAATTAAGATGGTCACTGGTCTTAAACATCAAAGTTTTTGGCAATAAAATCATTTCATTTTTAAATGTCTGGCTGCCTAAAACCATTTTATTTGCATATGTTCAACAAATCAAAGCTCAGTAATTTCTGATTTGTATTTCTTTCATTTTAATTTCAGAGGGTTTTCTTTTCTTTTTTTTTTTAAATCAGTCTCCAGATTGAAATTCCAATCAGTAAATAAGCAACATATATTGATCATAGCATCTGTTTCATGAAGGTTCATTTGCTATTTCAATTGCCAGTTAATGTTTGTGCAATCATCACAACTAAAATTAAGACAAGAGAAATATCTTTCACTAATCAATATTGACATCTCAGAAAAATCAAAAATATTACATTCATTACTTGAACACAAATTAATCAATATTCTTCCCGTTTTTTTAATTCCTTGAGTTTAACACTTAATGTGTGTATTTTACACACACATATTTTGGAAACTCCACAATAACATACATAACATTTACAATTAATTTTTTTTTTTTTTTTATTAAGGAAAAATATTTCTTGAAACTTATTTTAGTTTTAATTGATTGGAAGGAGTTTTCATTTTGAAATTTGTAAAAAAATTTTAATTCAGCACTATTTTTAGCAGTGTGGCAAAAATCTTTTAAAAATAAAATATACTTTTCTGAAACTGAGGAATATTAGCTGATTTAAAGAATAATTAATCTCATTTGAAACAACTTATTTACTTAAGTTTAAAATATCACAGAAATGCATTTTTTAACACAATGGTAAATTTATTATGTTTGACAGCTCAATGACAGATTTTTATCGAATGTTGTTCTATGAGGGCTTTAGCTCAAGAAAAAGAAAAAAAAAAAATTGAGGAATATAACATGAGTACCTTTTAAGTACTTGGTAATAAAAATTTAAGAAAATATTCTCTGTAGTCTGTTTTATTGAATTTTAGATCTAAATTTACTATAGTTATTGCTCTTAAAATTCAGCACATTTATACATACAAAAACAATTCTTTTAAAAACATTTGGGGATGTCAGATTGTAATAAGCTTTACAATATGTGATTAGTAAATATAGTTTTACTTAATATTTCCTAAGAGTTACACTATTGAATTTTAAGATTTAAAAATATAATTCTAATTAAAATTGTAAAAAAAATGAAAACAAATCTTGTAAAAATTCATTTCTCATCAAAAAGTTTTTCTGAAGATAATATTGTCCTTAATATATATTATTCATAAAAGCAATTAAAAGCTTCTCTAAATAATGTCTTAGTTTTATTGCATTTTTATTTTATGATTCAGAGCAGATTTCCAGTAAAACAGTGTCCAATTTTACAAAAAAATAAAATAAATTGATTTAAATTCTCCAAAGAGTGCTGCTAATATACTATACTAATATAGTCACTAAAAGTTATCACACTGAATTTCTCGAGTTTTCATAAAATTAAGGAAGTGGGATGAAATGTTAAAAAAAGTAAATTCTAAAATAATTTCGTTCATTTGTGAATAAGTCCTGAAAATTCCATTAAAATCCAACAATTTTTTTTTGTTTTTTTTTTCAAAAAATTTCCAAATTAATGTATCTGTCACTGCAAAAAAGATGCTAAAATTTGCTATGCTAATTTATAATACATCCGCTGAGACAAGAAAAACAAGATTGTTAATTTTGAATGTTATAAAAAGGATTAAAAAAATTAATTAAATATTCAAAAAAATACTTTGATCTTTCTCTTAATAATAATAAAACTGTTTTCATTAAGTTTGGAGCATTTTTCCCACTCACAGTATGCTAAGTATTTTTTTTTTTTTTTAGCAATTATGTGGTGGTATATATATATATATATATATATATATATACACACACTTATTTGCACCTATCTACCTATTCATAATATTCCAGAAACAAAATCTAATCCTGAGTGGATGATTTCTGAAGTAAGTTATTTTGTTCCACATCATCCACAAATTGGTTATTCTAAAATTATCATTACTTAAAATGATCAATGTAGAGAGATGGTTACTAATGAGAATTGGAGAAAGAATTATGAAATTAATTTAACTTCAATCATGTTATTCAGATTAAAACTTAACCAAAATACAAGTATCAGGTGTTTTTTTTTATAAAATTATTCAAATACAAAATATAAACATTAGAAAAGAATGGAGATTAAAACCATATGATCTGAATAATTGCACAAGATACATAGCTTAAAGAAATGCTCTTGACAGACCTTACAAAAATTCCATAATTATTTAAGCTGCAAGAAAATGTTAAATCCTTCCATTTTTTGCTTTAATAGCACTCATCCTTTTTGAGTTTGAGTTTTAATTAGAATCAAACCATTCTATAAGACAATTTGGAATAAAAAGGTCATCAAATATTGAATGTGGTCCTAATTACTGTGAAAAACCACAAAAATCAAAATGAACTTTGTGTTGAATTAAATTCAAGGAATTTTCATATGCTTTCTGATTTCTCTAAAACTGATATTCCCTGTTTACATTTAAAAAGGGAAAAAGTAGATTAAAAGAGTGAAAATTTGATAAGTTCCTCTGTTGAGCAAAAGCAATTTCCAAATCAGCATCTAGCTTAAACATGGATAAAATGAGCAAGTCACCCACTTAAAAGGTGGTTGTAAGGAATTAGTTTACAATATCATGTTCTTTTTAACTTTGGTTTGTCATTAAATTATTTTTTTCTTAACACCAGACTGGGAAAGAAATTAATTATTCTGTAATCTCAAATTAACTACAAAACAAGCCAAAACATTTATACCAAAGTTATTAAAAATGTCACTTATTTGAAAGTAAGGATTACAATCGTAGTCTCTTGGAATCAAACTATTTTAAAATTTTAAGCATTGCCTTATTGCACATCTTGTTTGCCATTCTTAATAAAATCTAAAGTACTTAAGAAAAATAGTGTTTTTGGTGCTACTTTGGCTTGTTATCTACAAGGAAAAGATAACACACCAAAATAGCACCTGTTTTACTATGTAGATATTATTCCAAAATAAAATTTGTACAGTGTAGATATTTTTTCCTTGTAGATAAGCCAATGTAGCACAGTGTTATTTTTATATATCTCAGATGTTGAACTACCTTTTAAGTTCACTTAAAATGCCAACCAATCATTTTTTATACTTCAGTGAATGCAGTTTTGTCATTATTACACATCCAGCTGCTATATTCATTGCATTGTTAATTATGAAAGGACTATTTCATTCCATACTACAAATACTCAAATGTACAATTACTGGCTCATTTTGTGTGTGTGTATATATATATATATATATATATATATATATATATGCACACACACACACACTTGGTTGATTTGTAATTACAAACATTTTAAACAGTCAATGACTAACATTTCTTTTTAAAAAATTTAATACAAATAATTGTAAAACTTCACATATTCCATATTAAAACATTTCACAGAACCTAAAACATTCATTATTTCCTGAAACAAAATGTTTTGGGTTCCATGCAGTGTATTTCTTTTTAAAACCAGTATATCTCAAAAGATTGACAGTCATGAAAGAACTTCATTTCTCAATTTCAGCAACTGTTCCATAGAAAATGCCAAACATTGAAACTGACAGCCATGGAAGAGTGAAGAATGGAGAATAATGACATTCAAGACAGTAACAGGCTAACATTGAAATTAGGGGGGAAAAAAATGATCACACTAAAGATATTTTTTCTTCCCAAGATTTAGTTTCAAAGTGTTCATTTAGAACTTTGTATGGAGAATAGATGAAAATGAAGTTTTTAAAAAGAAAAAGGCTAAAAATCAATGATAAAGAATGAAAATATGTCAAAGTCTAAATCATCAAAAGAAAATTCTCAATGTTTAAATGCAATTTTGAGAATTAGAGGATATAAAAAAAAAGTTATCTAAAAAGAAGATAAGCAACGACTGCTCATTTTCAGAGATTTAATTTGAGTTAGCACTGATGAGGATTAATTTAGTCAATTTTCCATCCTTTTGAAAGGCTGCCTTGAGATAAAAAGATAAATTACGAGGAAAAAAAAAAAAAAAAAATATGACAAGGTTCTGGACTGTTGCTGTTGCATTCTTTTCTGCCTGGTCTTCAAGTGTTAAAATGTCAACATTGTCTGCTATTTTTTATATTCTTTGGGAAGCTTTTTAATTTATCTAAAATCAAGCAGACACATCTCTGATACAGAGAGGAGTGAGGAACAGAGAAACGGAAATTTATCTGGGGGATGGAAAAGCCTGTTCACTCTGCTTGTTCTATAACAACAGATGGTGTGTCCGTTACAGCAACAACAGGACTTGTCGTAGTAGCTGAAGGTACAGTAATTGACTGATTTGTTGCCGCTTGATTTGCTGCCGCTTCTCCTTGGTGAATATGGACTATTTCTCCATTTTCTGTGGTAACTGTGGCAACATGGACTCCTTCGGGTGTTCCCATAGAAACAGCAACTTGAACACCTTCTTGACCATCAGCACCTTGAAATTGCTGGTTAAAGAGAAAAAAGATTTTTATGAGATTTTTTTTCTGCATGGATAGATGAGAAGTTTAATCGTGTATTTGTCATTCATTATTACATCTGGAGTTTTTTTTTTTTTAAAGCTGAGAATCAATTATTTTTTTTATTAAAAAACAAAAATTTAATAGATTAATAAAATTTTATTGTTTCTGTTAAAGAGTTAATGGAAATGAAATGATAGTATAGAATTTATATAAAAATAACTTATCAATTTCATGATATTCATTTCTAAACATAGGCAAATTATTTCAATCTTTGAAAATTTAAATTATTGCTAGATTTAAATATTTAAAAAATTCATAATAAAATTTAAAATTTATTTCTTCATTATTCTTTACCTTAAATTAGTGCTAATTGTCAATTTTAATATTAAAGAAGTAACTAAATTCACTGACAATAAATTTTATCATATGAATGTTAATATCAAATAAATCATTAATTTATAACAAATCACAGAAGCCTTAAAACAATTTATTCAATATCTGTTCAAGTATAATCAAAGTGACATCTGTATACTGAAATAAAACCTTTTTGTTGCTCTGATAGCTAATTTTATATCACTGATTATTATTAAGAACTTGTACATCCATATATTCAAGACCATTTTAATGATTTCATTAGTCAATCAGTGCTGTTTTTAATCTATATTTCAAAATGAACATATTTTTTTTCTATTTATTATTAATATAATCTTTTTATAAATAGAAACTACTTTTAAAATGTATGATTCAAATATTTCGGACTTTTAAGTGACCAATTATATTAGAAAATATGACTTTAAATGGTTTATTTACTTGTCTAATATAAATTCACAAAACAATTGGAAAATTTAACATATCAGTTGTTACAAAAAGATGAAAATATGAGTTTGCATAATCCACAATGTTCTTGCCATTACCCTTGTGGATAACAATCAGTTCAAATAATAATATCTACAGAGTTTAATAATAATAGGAATACTAAATAGAAAAAACCCTGTTGGATGTAAACCATACCTGTAAAACATGATCACCTTGTAATATCTGAATATGCTGTGCATGTTGAAGTTGAGAAATTTGTTCTGGTGTTGCATGAAGAATTTGGATTTCCCCTTGTTGTAAGGCTTCCCCTTGCATCGTGACAGCATTCTGAATATCCACTTCACCCTGCAAAACAGAATAAAATCAAATATGACATTGAATGCAACAAAATTTGTTAAAATAATTGTTCCAACAGAAGGCAGTCATTTACTCTCATTCTATATTCAGAGATACCAAAATAGTAACAAATTTATTACATTTCCATATTTACCTGATGTATGTGGAATTTTGTATCTTCATGTGGATTTGAATCTTCAAAACTACTTTGTGAACTCATTATGGAATTGAATCCCATTCCTGGGTTATGAATATAACTAGGAGGAGCTTTGCCTCGAAAAGCCTTAACAGTTAAAGGCAAACCCCTTAACTTGCGGCGAAAAGCAGTCCGACATTTTGAGTCAATATTTTGTTTAATTCTTTGCCAATCAGACTCATTAATCCGAAACCGATAAATTAAGTGACCTGAAAGAGATGAAAATAGAAAACTCAGTAAACCATGTTTGGGAGCAGCATAGCATTTGAATATTTTCCTTTCATTTTATAAACAAAAGAATAATTCTAGAAATTTAAGTTGCTGTTCTTCAATACTGTATTTACTTTTGCAGGTGAACCTTTACAATATCCTAAAAGATTTTACTTTAGAATAAAAGGAAAACAAATCTAATTCATTAACAGATTGAATTGAAAAATATTTAAAAACATACAAAATGTATCTTTACATACAATTCAAAAAGCACTTATAATATGTAGTAATTCATATGAAATCTTCAATTTTCTTTTTTCATCAATAATATAAATGTAACTGAAAGTGACTTTACCAAAGGAAGGAAAACAATTGAAAAAAAAAAAAAAAAAAAAAAAATTAATCTTACACCAAATTCCATAAATCATCAAAGGGTCAAGCTGTTTTTTGCCATGTTTCCCCATCCCTGATAAATTTGAACAAGCCTGTGTCTCTCGATCAAACAAATAATCAAGTAAAGTCAATGCCATTTTTTCTGCTGTCCGACAATTGGAGTGAATATGTAGAAGGTCACTAAAACAGAAAAGAAACCTTATTTAAAGTCTTTAAATTGACCAAGTTTTTCTCTGTAAGAAATCAGAAAAATTTGAGAAACAAAATTTGGTCATTCATTTGGTGACTGTAAAATCATTATTTACATTATTCAGACTATTGTCCTCAGCTTTGTTGCCATATTTATTACGTTTCGGCCGTTGTACGCTCCAGCCTTCTTCAGGTGGTTGAAACCATCTGACATTCCTACACCGATGCAGAGACCTACAACTCATCCCTTCAGGCTTGGCACCAAGACTTCCAGTCAATTCAAGGAGAGCTCGTAGAGTCACAAAGAAAGTGGGACACGCCCTTGTCTGAGAGAGAATCCAGTACAATCGTTGGATAGAACAGTGACTACAAGCTCATATCACCCAGAGTCTCGAGGATTTCTTCAACAGAATTACTAAAGAAGACCAGAGAAGGATCCAAAATGACCTGGATAAATCCTTCTGACATGAATTCGATGTAGTCAAGGACAAAAATTAAATAGATTGAAAGATCAGAAGGTGACGCACAAAGTCCATCACCCACCAGTGAAAGCAATAGTCAACATCAGCCAATATCAGCTGAGTGCCTCTCAGTATTGAATAAGGGTCTCAACTTCACCACAACCATTAGGCGGGTGCCATACTTGGACATCATTACCAGAGTTGAGGAGGTGGCCTTGGACATCCCTCAGGCTCAGGCGGATGAACTGAAATGGAAAGTGAGGCAGACCTTGGAGAGAGCCAAGCCGCCCAGGTCTAACATAACAAAACTGGAGAGGCTGACGATTGGATCCCTACAGAGGAACGAAAACATCATCATACTACCGGCTGACAAAGGTAATGCGACTGTAGTGATGGACAAATCAGATTATACAAGAAAACTGGAAGACCTCATTAGCAATGGTAGCTACAGTAAAGGGAAAAAGGAGCCTACTATGAAAACGGAACGCAAACTGTCATAGATACTAATCAAGAACAAGGATCACTTCGCACCTAAGACGTATAGGCAGTTATCGCAGCGGTACACCAAGCTACCTCACACATACGGTCTCCCTAAGATTCACAAAGATGGTATTCCACTCAAGCCAATTGTTAGTTGCCAAGACTGTGTGCCACCCTCTGAGTCACTTCCTTGTAGATATAATTGACCCATTGATCGAAAAGTCTCTTTCATATGTCCAAAACTCCGCCCACTTCGTGGAAATAATCAAAGATACTCCCATCCTATCCAACCAGATGGTGAGCTTGGACGTGGTGACTTTGTTCACCAAGGTACCCACGGAGGAGGCACTCTCAGTAGTCAGAGACAGATTGGCCTCTGACTCTTCCCTAAAGAACAGACCAGTATTCCAATAGTTAATCTGATGGAGATGTTGACTTTCTGTACACAAACAACACACTTCAGAATGGGATCACACATATATCGACAAGATGAGGGCTTAGCAATGGACTCGCCATTATCACCAGCAAAGGCGAATATATACATGGAATACTTTCAGAAAATAGCATTAGAATCTATATCTCTAAAGCCAACTATATGGCTAAGGTACGTAGATGACAACTTCATACTCTGGCCACACCAGGAAGATGTTCAGGTCCTACTGGACCATGTGAACTCAATAAGACATTCGATACAATTCACAATGGAGAAAGAGAGTAACAACACACTCCCATTCCTGTATGTTCTAATATATCGAACAGAGCATGGGTTTAAGACATCCGTATACCGTAAACCGACATTCACCGGACATTACCTCAATTTCAACTCCCACCATCCATACAGGGTAAAGAAAGGGAACGTCCATTGCTTACAACACCAAGCAAAAGTCATAAGTGGTGACCCAGAGATATTAGATAAAGAATTGGTCAGTATAAGTAGTACCCTACAATGTAACAATTACCCTGGGTACATGGCAGCAGCCCCCAAAAACTGGGATAGGCGGGTACAAGAGGAGGAGGACAACAACACTCAGAAAACTGTCTGCGTTATGTGAAGGGGTTATCAGAGAAAATACAAAGGATCTGCGGTCCATATAACATCAGGACAACCTTTAAAAGCTTGACGACACTTCGCAGATATCTCTCATGAGTAAAACCCCCCCATAGAGGAGAACATGACTAAAGACTGTGTGTACGCTATCCCGTGCAGCTGCGGAAAGGAATATAAAGGAGAGACAGGCTGCCCTCTCAAGGTAAGGCTTCAAGAACACCAGAAAGCTGTAACACGAGGGTTAGTGGAAAATCAGGCGTGGCTGACCACATATGGAGAGAGAAGGGAGATCACTGCCCTCTGTGGGATCATGTTGAGATCATAGACAAGGAACACCATTGGAAAATTCGTAAACTTAAGGAATCAGCACATATGCTAGGCCACAAAAATCTCCTGAGTTGACCAAGCATAGAAATAAATACAATGTGGGAACCAGTAATAAGGAGTACCAGAGAAAAGCAATGATAACAACAAAGCAATATGAGCTCTGGTAAAAACATGCAATGATAACAGCAAAATTGCAATATGAGCACTGGTAAAAATGGTTGCTGAAGACATTAGGTTTATAATACCCAGAAATTTATGCCCAGATGTCCTCAAGGACACATGGCACAGTGGTTAGATCCAGTGACAGGACCCAAAGAGTGTGAGTTCAATGGAGAACTTTCAGAGGGAAATTAACAGGAGATAACTGATAACTGACATCCATCAAACATGGCACGTGGAACTAGAACAGTCTACCCCAGTGAGCGAAATAAAGGGTTCAGTTCGACATTCCAACCACTTGAAGAAGGCCGAAACATACAAGGGCTGAAACGTTGTAATAAATATGGCAACAAAGATGAGGACAATAGTCCGAATAATGTAAATAATGTAGATTCATCAACATTTCTCATGTGACTACATTGTTCCAATAGCATTTAGTGCTAGTTAAGTTTTTATTTCCATGATTGCAACAGTTTTACAGCTCATAAAACAGAATAAATGTGCTGAAATATTCTTTACCCAAACCGGAAAGGCTGTAAAAGAGAGTGAAAAAAATCTGATGTTTGATCATTTGCTTAGATTTGGGAAGTGAGAGAGGACAAGGACTTTTCAACATTTCTGTAAAGCTTCAGGTTCATTCAAAGTTTAAAATCTGAACTCTAAAACTGTGTTCATTTTTTAAGAATTTAAAAATATCCCAAATACTGGTTTTACAACAAAAGACAACTGTATGAGATATACATGATATATAAACTTAAACATTATTATCCTAATCTTTATGGTTTCTCATAGTCTGAATAATTTTTAAAAATAATGAAAATACTTTGTCTCAAAATGTTATACCAGAACATACCTATTCTATTGTAAATAGACTCTCCCACATATAATAAGTAGTAGCAGTCGCCAAAGGGCTCAGAGTAAGTTGGTGAGTCAGTCGATGTCGGACATTAAAGTATCAACCACCACAACTAGATTGCTGCGTCATTAACTATTATAACAAGTTCCTAACGTTTTGTACGTCAAACCTTGTTTAGGACCGACTTAGTGAAATACAAGCCTCCACTGTGAAAACTACTCTACAACACAAAACTTCAAATTCTGTTGCTCAAAGTTTTTCAAATCATTCACTTCATAAAAAAGAAAAAAAATCTAGAATCAGCTCAAAGATCTTAGAGGAAAAAAAAACCCCAAAAACTTACACTCCTTCCTATATAACAGATATGCAGTATTTCTTTTAGATAAGTAATGCATTTAACCTTAAACTTTAGAGAGATTTACCTTGAAGAAATAGGCACTCTAACACGCATTTCAGGATTATTTTCATCACCAAGCCAGCAACCATGTGGGTAATCCTCTACAGTCAAAAAGAAATTGAGCATTCATAAAATGCAAATTTAATCTCATAATTCAACATTAAATTGTACAGTCCACATACAAAAATGAATTTCTTCAAAAAAATTTAATGACTAAACAGAGACTTTTCCTTTTTATTTTTTCAGCAATGTTTGCTAATTGTCAGATCACTGATTAAAAATAAAATATAGTTGTGCTTTATCATTTTTCCTTGCAGTTTCATTTGCCAAGTAAGACATTTAAGGCAGTTCACTTTTTAAATAAATTCACAAAAACCAGCTTCAAATCCATGCTCAATAGGAATTAGTGTATAAATTATGCATTTATATAAAGGTTTGTGAGCATCAGACAAATCTACAAACATGTTCACCTTTCTTCTACTCAAACTAACCATTTTAAGACAAAAACAAGAGCATGTATGTTCGATAGAGAGAAGAAGGGAAATTTAAGGCTTAGATAATGTTTGATGAAAAGAGTGGCATAAAGTCAGGCAATGAAACAAAGTCTTGGTTAAACAATAAAAACTTGAGGCCAGAAGTTTTGTCAATGAAGTTGCCAGCCAAGAGGCAAAGTTAAAATTAATGATAAAATGTAATGATATAAAAATAAATAAATTAATTAATTTAAAAAAAAAAATGAACAGAAAAAAATCATAAACTAGCAGTGGCCATCTGCTGAGTTGGGCTACACATCAAATATTTATGAAACCAACTTGATGCCACTGTGTGCTCACAAGTGGGGAAATCCGTTCAAAGAGTGGACAACTACCTCAGCTGCCTGGTGCTGCCAGTTTTCATTCAAACTGTTTAACAATTCCTTGTGTCCTCAAAAATCCGAGACAACAGTTGAAACTGTTGCATTGCTGAGGGCAGCAAATTCTGGAAAAGAAAGGCAAAACTACGTCTATTGGTGTAGCTTGGATAAATGTTGGAGCAGTACATAAGATTAGCTTCAAGATAACTATTTTTAGACATTAAAAGAGCTCCAGAGAAACATATTGGAACTAAGGATTTGTGTGTAAGATCTGGAATAATTTTTTTGCTTTTCTTTCCAACACAAGAAAAATTTGTGAGCAAATATGAAAATAGAAAAGACATACAAATGACATCTAACAGTAATAAAGTAAATGGAATCATCATTATTATCATTATTATTATCATCATCATCATCTTTATTAGCAAAGCCAGAAAATTAATTTTATTAAGGAGCAAGCATTAAATTGGCAGCAGTGGTAGTAGCAGCAGGACATGTTAGGGAACTGGCAATGACCAATGAGACAAAACTTCTGGCACTTAGAAATGAAATACAAGGGATGATAGAAATAAGAAAGGAAGAAGTTGATAGTACCTACCTTCTGAATTCAATGTAATCAGAGTTACATTGGGACCAATGTTACGGAAGTTGTTGTCCATGGAATTAAATCCAGCATTTGGTGAAATTAATTCTGTTGAGATTAAATTTTAAAATCATAAATTAAAGTAATTTTCATACAAAAATATCTGAATTATGTATTGATAGGAAACAAAACAACAGCTACAATTAAAATCTTACAAAGACAATAAATCATTCCATTAAACTGGTTAAGTTCAGAATTTAAAATGTAATAAAGTAAAAAGTATAAAGAGTAATTCTAGATAAGAGAAAGAAAACCTATTCACCTTTAGAAAATAAAGGTTACTAAGAAAGCAGAGTAAGAGGTCAAATATATATGTATGTGTATATATATTTAAGTAATAATACAGCAAAGTTTGTCAATTTAGATTGAAAATTAAAATGGAATCTTTTTAACAGCTATTTCAGCAATATAATAAAAAAATGAATTTGTCATTTTCTTCTACACGTGCTAGTAAATCTTTCCCAAAAGAAAATATCATTGATATTCTTTGGATATTTTTAGCATATTTGTCTACTTTATGTCAATAAAGCATGTCATTTCCAACTAGCCACAATGAATGAATCAATGAACCAACTCCTTGTTCCATATAACTGGCTTCTGAAATAAGTTTTATTAAAAGCAATAAGATGAAGAAAAATCTAACCACCTACAATGCACAAAAAAAGAGCACCTTAGAAAAATTATCATCTCTAAAAGAGAGACTTGCAAGTATTGATATTTATAGAATTTGAAAAAGATGACTTTAAGAAATTTCAGCTTTGTCCAATATTAAAATTATCACAGTAGCTGAAACACAATGACAAGAAACCTTTTTGTTCATATAGAAGCAAATACAAGCAAACAAAAATGATTGTAAGGTGGTCTTTTCCAAGATAATCATCATATGTTTAATAGCTCTATATTTATAAGTTTGTAAACCAGTTTGAATGTTAGTATCTACAAGAGAACTTGATGTATCTCTGAAAAAGTGAATACGTCATAGAATGAAAAACTTTACTTACTTCCTTTTTTATCTTTACTGTCTAATTGGATGGCTTGCAATATATCTGCATCAATTGCTGGAAAAAAAATTCAAAATGGAATAAATTCTACAAAAGTGTGTATGCATATATATTTTATTTTATAGGTATATAACAGTGAAAAAGAAAAGAAAAAATCTGGACTGATTTTTTAAAAAAGATGAACAAATTTAAAAATTCATTTTTTGTTTGTTTTTTTTTTAAATTTTGAATGTGTTATTTTTTGTGTTTTGTTTAATTTTAATAACATTTTGGGTTAGATGTAAAGTTTTTCATATGGCTGTCTTGTTAAAATATAGTACAGGGTGTGGCAGAAATACCTCCCACAAAATGGTAAGATATTAGTGGCAATGGTGTCTTCATCTAGCTAATGTCATACCATTATGTGAAAGATGTTTCTGCTGTACCTTGTATAATAAAAATTTAAAGAATGTAAAATTTAGTTTTGATTGAATTAAATGAGTTTAATGCATTAATATTATTTGAATATAAATAATTTTAATATATAATTAAAATATAATTACAAAGATTAAGATGTGAAAAAAACCTTTGCTAACTTTCAGCATCAGTCTATTAGCATAATGAGATGTTGGTTACCTATTTACCACAAGGCCAAAGGTTTCAATCAGAACAAAATTCACTTAATTTTATATAACTGTTTGCTTTAGCATGACAAAACTAACAAACAAAAAGGCTACTGGCTTATAGAGAAGACTATACAACAGCAATATCTTTTTTAATTTAGTATCACAAATTACTGAGTAAATACTTCAACAATTAATCATTATTCGGCAAGTATGGAAATAATAAAAAGGCATGAGATGGAATAGAGATGGGAAATAAAATTGCAATAGTCTGAGGGATGATGCCAACTCTGACCCAAGTACAATATAGACATACTAGGGAGGTAAATCCTAGGTTATACTAATAAAGCATTTGCAGTCTTCCTCCATTTTGTGACATACTAACACTCATACCAGTGCATTCTAAAGGCAGACTGTAAAGAAGGTAACTCCACTAATTTTCGATACCTAAGGTTTAAAATGATTTTTTAAAAATGAAAAAGCATTCTTTTTAATTTTAATTGAAAGCTAAATGATTAAATTTGCTATTTCCAGTAAGCAAAATCCTCTGGTGTATTTCAAATAGAAATTATATTGATTCGGATCTCAAGTTTTTAGTCACTTTCAGTAAAATCACTAAAATCAGCCATTTTTAACGCGTTTGTAAACAAAAGTTAATTCTCAGTTTTAAAAATCTTCCAAAAACAACATATACTTTTCTGAAACTTTATTTAGGAATATTAGAGGATTTAAAATATAATTAATCTGATTTGAAAAAATATTATTTACTTTAAGTTTAAAATAACAGAGAAATGGATTTTTTTAAAACAAACAGTAGCAGTGATTTATATGTTTTTTATTGCTTCTCAATCACTTAACAAGCACAGATAAGGTATTGACAGTTATTGTTGTTGTTCTATGGAGACTTTATCTGTTAAAACAATTAAGAAAACAATGGGTGAGCACCTTTTATATAATTTTTAAGTACTCAATAATCTTAAAAATGTTGGAAAATATTCTCCATAATCTAATTTTAGAAAAGTTTACTATAGTCGTTGCTCTTATTTTCTGATAATGTCATGTATAACCAACCATACTTTCAAACAGGGTCATGTTACGTAATATTTTATATACATAAAAAATTAAAAATTATTTTAAAAATCTTGAACAAAATACTTTGTATTAAATTTTTGATTAGTAAATATAGTTTTCACTTAATAACAATATCACCTAAGTAATGCAAAATTTTAGATTTATATATTATAAATTATTATAGTTAAAAAAAAAAAAAAAAAATTAAAACAATTCTTGTAAAAATTCATAAAAAAACTTTTTTCTTAAAACAATAGTGTCCTTAATAAATCTTATTTATAAAAGTAATTAAAAGCTTTTCTAATTAAATAATGTCATAGTTTTATTGCATTTTTTATTTTATAATTGTGCTATTCCAGAAGAGGATAATTGCTGCCTACATGATGTCCATGTTCTGCAAGCTTTTCTGCTGGCCAGCATGATTAGCAACAGCAAACTTGAAGGAGACATAATGGCATGATGGTGATTCATTCAATTAACCCTAACACTACCTGCTGCTGTATTGCATTAACAGATGCAAATGGCATGGAGTAAAATATTTACCATCTGTATCATCATAGACATGCAAGAATTCAGGCCTGACAAGTCACAAGATGGATATACAGAATATGGAGCCAGAGTACTGTTGATAAACCCCTTTTTGGAACCAGTGCACATATTGATCTCTATATGAAATCATTTATATATAATCCAGCTATATTATCTGGATATTTAATCTTGAATAAATTGAAATGCACATTCAGAGTTACCCAATTTTATTTTGTCTGTGTAATTAAAAATGCCAAAACCTATACCAGAAAGTTTGTATATGCATAGCTGAGAATTTAAAATGTATTTCAAATATTTTTGAGCACAGAAATTATTAGCAAATCAAATAAAGATTTTAGTTTTGTGTAATAGTTTACCTTTATCCAGCGGGCTTTCTTCTTCTGTAAACAAAAGAAACATGTAAGTGAATCAAATGTGCATAGAAATATGGAATATTAAATTAAAATCAGTGATATGAGGAGGGGTTGAAAAATTTCTGAACCTGACTTTTGTCATTGCTTTTTGTGAAATGGGCTGAATCAAGAAATTCTCAGAACCCCCTTCATATACAGAATATATTTAACCAGATTATAACTTGATATTCCTACAGACATGGAATATTATTTAAATAACAGATAAGTAAATTTAAAGCCACAAGTTAACCATACATCCAAGCACAAACTTTTTTCCCTAATTAAAGTATTTCAGTGTTTTTTCTTTTTAAGTTTTTGTTATTGAATAAAACAGAGAATATTCATTTTACAACCATTTTATCTTTGTTTCTTCAGGTCAGTATAAAAGTAAAATTCAATGATGGAAAAAAAAAAAAAAATTTAAATTTTCAACTAATTTACTTGAAATAACAACAGTAAACGCATTATCACGAGTAGAATATTATCACCAAAAAGTGATTGAACCCAAAAGTCAATTGCTTATCTGACATTTAAATAAGTCAATAAATAAAAGGAAAAAATTATTTTATTTTATCAAGTCTAAAAAAACAAGGAATAAATCACTTGACAGAAGTATTAGGATAATATTAATCTTAAGTTTAAAGAAATCAAATAGAAATATATATCTTGCTTGATTAGTCTGTTTAAATTAGATAAATCATAGCAATATTCTCTTCCATATTTTCATTTATAAATAAGATAAGAATAAGCATATTTACCACCATTCCTGTCCTGAGGTAATCCAACTATGAGAGCACCAGACCGTCGGGAAGGTGAAACAGAACTAAAAATAAATCAAATCAATTTTAATCACTGTCACCATTAAACAGCAATTATTTAAAAAAATAAAAATAAAAGCCAAAGATTCTTTTATGTAAACTATAATTGAGATTGTAATATAAATCAATGATAATCAGAATTTAAAAGTATATTTAATTCAGTAAATATTTCATGATTACCAAAATATTTATAGATACAGCAATAATTTCCCTATTGTTTGCTTGGTGAAGTTTCCGTTCTGCCATGGGTTTGAGTTCAATCAGTTTAAATGATTGAAATTCTTGTTTAAGAAAATTTCTTGCTGTTTAGAATGAATTTTGTCAGAAAACATTATGAGAAATTAGTGTTTTTAATGATTTGCCTTAAACTATTTAATTACTCCTCCATCCAAACTTTGGGAATACAGATTAGTTGATTTCCATGAAGTTAAAATTCATGAAGAGAGAGAAACTTGTCACACTCATCCAGCCAAAGAAGATAAAGGAAAATTGTACATGTTTTCAAGATGAACTGTCTGTTGCTTTCTCTCATGAACAATTCAATTGGCTGAGAATTTGTAGCAGGTTTTTAAAATATCTTTTTTATTACTTAAAAAGTCTTTCTTTAATTTCCATAAGCTTCTGTTGCTATGAATTAATCAATAAAACTCATCTTTATCACATCTTAAAACAACATAGTACACAAAGCCACTTCATCATCAACATGTTTTTTTTTTACTATCATGTTTTATTCATTAAAAAATTAAAACTCATTAACAAATTTTGGGTTTATATTCTTTTAAGGATTTGACAGAAGCTTTATTTAAATTTTTAATTAAAATATATTATAAAAAGGTATTTAATTTAAAAAATAGAGATTAATAATAATTGACAATTCATTTATATACATTTTCATTAGAAATAGAATGTACAAAAAATGTATTTATTAAAAAATATGAACTTAAATTTCAGTTGATATTAGTCAGATTTTTGCAGAGAGAAATAGTAAAATGGTAAGAATATGGAAAAAAGATGCTAAAATTTCACTTGGTCTTTTACAAGACATAGCAATTATGAATAATAATAATAATAATAATAATAAACACAATTGAAATCTTAGGACAGACACTTTAAATTATATTTGTCCTTCTGTAGAAGGACACTAAGTTTGAGCTTAAAATTATGACATTGATGTTGTGATTGCTCTAAAATTTCATTCTTTTTTACCAGTAAAATTAAAAAAAGGAATACAATTAGTTTATGATGTAAAAATCTCAGAAAGTTATTATTGGAATGCCAAACAGGTTGTTCAGTTTTTAAAGTAAAAGCAAGAAGGTTTTTTTTTTGCCAACTTTATTGAGCTTCATTTACTATCTTTTACCATCTTTCTCCAAACTTCTGTCCTCTCAGAATTCTTTCTTTCATAACAAGGAATTATTCTAAGAGTCTTTTTCAGTCTTCCAGATAATTGAAATATTTTTACTAAGCTAAATCTGTAAAGACCCTAATAAATGGTAATCCAAAAGGTGCAATATCTGGTGAATATGGCAGAAAAGTAAAAACTTCCAAGTTGTAACAATTTTTGCCAGTCACCAATATGTAATCTAGTATTTCATGATGGAATCTGATGTATTTTATTTTATTTTAACTCAACACTCCCCACCCTTGCTATTTCCAACTACTCTAATTGGATACTTGTTCTTCAGAAATCCATAGTTGAGAGTCCTACCAATCCCACCATATACACCTATATATCTTCATCTATCACCTTAGGATAAAGAACAGCCTTTAGTACAGTTAGTAGTTGGTAACTTTGCTTTCCCTTCTGCATTCCATTATTGTAAAGTAGCCACTTTCCAGTGTAATTTGTTTGAAAAATAAAACATTCTCATTGTTTAAGTAGCAAATCTGAAAATATTTTAGAGTTTTTGGGCCACTAATTCACTAAGCTGGTACAAATGATTTTTAATGAAGGAGTTGAATATTTTAAACATATTCATTATTTTCCACATTATTATTATCATCATCAAGTAATGTCTTCATTTGATTGCAATCAATTTGAATTGGCCTATCCAACCATGAAGCTTTATTTAGTAAAACTCCAGCACAAAACTTCCCTAATCACATTTGATCATTAACAGTATCTTTTCTATAAACTGTACAGTTTTTTGTTGTATGTTCAGTTGACTTTTTATTTTTCTTAACCCCAAAATAGAATATGCTGAAAATTTTGCTAATTTCTTTCATCTTTAGAAAAAGGTCAATTTTTTAAAAAACATACTTGTATGACAGCTGTAATATAATCAAAGTAATCTTTTTGAATGAAGTTAAAATTAAATGCTCCTAACACCATCTAATGATAAAAAAGGGAAAAAAAGAATAAGCTTTTTAGTCTAACCAACATTTCATAATTACTCAAAATAGACTATATATTATAGATAAATGGTAATGTAAGAAAAAAAAAATTGTTTTATGAATATAAATCAAGATTTTAGTAAATACATCTTCCATAACAGAATCAAAAGATTTTTAAATTAGATTCATTGTATGTATTGAAACAAAATATATATCTTCACAGAAGCATCAATACCTACATATGTACATTGACAACAGAACTTTTCTACCAATTTCTATTAATTTATGCAACACTCATTTTGGAAACATTGTATTTTAAAATGAGAGAGGAAGAGAAAAATTCTTTTTTGTTTCACTTGTTTAATTCTAGATTTCTTTTCAAAATCTTTTTATGAAGCATTTATTTGATCAGATAGTCAAAAATTTGAAAAGAAAACTTAAGCAGGAAGTCACACAGGTACTTACAAAAGGCAAAAATATTTCCCTCTACTCAAGTTATAAAATTATTATATCAGCTAGTAAGAAAAGAAAAATTATATTGAATATAACAAGATTTATATTGACATAAAAAAAAAATAAAGATACTTAAGTCTCTCTCTTTCACATAATTGTGTTTGGTTAGTACTTAATAGTTTTTGGTGTTTTTTTCAGCATTCCTTGCAATAGTTTTAAGTTGAATATTTCTCTCATCTCTTGAATCCTTTATTCTATCTTTAGCCTAAACCAGAGTCATAATCACGTAAAAGAAATTGGTTTCTCTTCATTCATACTTGTACATGAAGTTGACATCAATCAAGAGTTGTTAGACGAATAGAAATATTTATATCATCAATTTTTAAACTGAACATCTAATAGGAATGTGGGCTACATACTACATGTTTTTGTATACTGATATATTTTGTAGATGAGACGATATTAAGAGAGACAGATATAGACATTGATAACTTTATCAATAAGAATGTTTAACAACTTAAGGGATAACTGGGAGTTATATTATAAATAGGTTCAAACAAAATCAAATACTAATCATCAGTAATTGTTAAAACAATAATCATAGTTTACTTACCCCCGTTTGGAATTAAAAGTAGTAACAATGTTGTTGTTGTTGTTATTATTATTGGTGTTGTTGTTGTTATTGTTGTTGTTGTTGTTCTTATTTTGCGCCACTAATTCCAAAACTTTAACTTCCAAATATTTTGTCCGTAAACCCATATTTTCCAGTTTACTCTCTATGCTGTCAAGTCGTAAACATATTGCTTTATTGATGTTGAATAAAATTTGCTGTGAACAGAAAAAAATGCTGTCAATATCAAGAGTGAAAAAAGATTTTAATGAACAAATTAAAATTTTTACAATCTGAATTCCACTAAGCCTAAAGAACACAAAATACACTTGTGACATTATTGAAGTTTTCTCGTACAGATGGATTAGATAAGCACAATAACAAAACTGTTTAGTTTTTGCCTAGATTTTCTTTATAATGTAATTTGGTAAAAAAATAAAATAAAAATAACTTGCTACATTTTTCTATATTAATAAAAACACAGTTGAAAAAAATTGAACAGTTCAAAAATAAAATTGAATTGGAATAAAAATCGGTAATATAAAAAATATATGATAGCAATTTTTAATTAACACATTTTCATAGTCTTTACCCATTTATCGCCAATCAGTATGCATCTGTGTTTAACATATTTGTTTATAAGATATCTATAATATCCATAGTTTAAAATGAATACATTTTTTCAATAAAAGATAAATATCAGAGAAAATTTAAAACAGGAACATAAAAAAAGGACTAGAGTTCTCTCAATTGCATTTTGAGCAACATTTGTATTCCAATCATTAGATTTCATTAATACTTTAAAAAATATAAATAGTCCCTGAAAAAGGTGATTTAGACAATTTCTAAATATCCATTACTGCTTTTAATTTCCTTAAAACAATACAAAAACCACATTTAAATAGGTTGCATGGGATCTCCAACTAAAATATCCAGAACATCAGTTGGAGATCCCATGCAATGCTTAACACAATTTACAGAGAAATGAGAACCAATCTGCCTTAAGCTCAAACAAAAACGATTACAGTTTGCCAGCAATCACCACCAGGTGGACAGGGAAATCATCTCATCCTTACTCCTATGGCATCCTTCTGGAAATATCTTTTCACGAAAATTGACTTTCCCCAGACACCATAGCTTGAGACTCAGGTTTGGACATTGGGGATCTGGGGACAGCAATACAGGACCAAACAGTGTGTAAAGAGATTGTCAATAAAGTTCCAACCAACCATAGTGGAGTCAAAGAATGATGAGGATGAAATAGGTATTATTTATCATGGAGAAGAAAAACTGATTGAACACCAAATTTATCCAGAAGCACACACTGGAATGAATAAAGATGATATTCAGAGATATATATATATATATATATACACACACACAGTCACACGCATAAGTATTGGATACATGTTATTTTCTGTTATAACTCGAGTTTATGTTCGCCATTTTGCCTGATATTTGGTAAGTAATATCTCGTAAAGTTGTATTAGTTGTATGTGGAAGGAAAATTAAAAACTCATGGTTGAATCCATTTTTTTTAATCAAAGTTCAAAATTACCCCATGCAAAAATATTGGATACATCAATTTAATATTTTGTTGCATAGCCTCTGTTTTGTTTCACTGCTTCCAGTCACTTTCTATAGTTGGCCACAAGTTTTCCACACTAATCCACTGTTACTTTACCCATTCTTCCTTGCATAATTCCTCTAATTGCTTGATATTTTGTGGATTCCGCTTATGAACTTTAACCTTCAAAGAATTCCACAAATTCTCAATTGGATTCAAGTCAGGAGACTGACTTGGCCAATTGAGAGTACTAATACCATTATTTTCAAACCATTCCTTTGTAAGTTTTGCAGTATGTTTGGGATCATTGTCGTGTTGAAGCACGAAATTCCATGTCCTAAAGAAGTTGCAGATTTCTGAAGGTTCTTCTCTAGAATCTCTCTGTACATGCTATCATTCATTCTACCACGGATAACTTGTAACTTACCAGTGCCCTTGGATGAAAAGCATCCCCATATCATAATGGAAGCACCACCAAACTTAACTGTGGGGATGGTATTGTGCTTGTTGAAGGCAGTCCCATTTTTTCGCCAAACACTTGTCGCTGTGTTCCTTCCGAATATTTCATCTTTCATTTCATCCGACCAGATTACCTTTTCCCAAAACTGCATACCTTTCTTTTCATAAGTTTCGACAAAATTTAATCGGTCTTTGACATGTTTGGTTTTCAGTAAAGGCACTTTTCTTGGTGATCTTGAATGAAAGCCTGTACGATATGGAGCTCTGCTAATGATATCCTTACTTACATTAATTCCAGCACCCTCAAGATCAGTTTTAATTTCAGAATGAGTAATGAAGGATTTTTTTGCACATTTCTGCTGATCCACCTTGAAGTACTCTTATTTATTTTTCTCGGTCTTCCATTTCTTGGAAGGTTTGCTGTACCACCGCCATACTTATACTTTCTGATGATATTTCCTACTGTACTTAGTGCTAGATTCATTTCTTTGCTAATTCTTCGGTAACCTTGTTCTCCTTTGTGACGTTCAATGATTCTATCTCACATATCTTCTTTGATAATTCTTTAGTTTTTGCCATTTTTAATCCTTGAATTGCAGAATGCACATCAAAGAGTCAGATGATTAGTAGCACTATCTTGTAAACAATTGTGTGCTTCTCTGATTGGTCAGAGATAACATTCCAATACTATCGAAAATTTGAATATTTAAAGTCTTTTAAAATACAAAGTTTCGATTGGAAATTTGAAAAAAGTGTCATGTATCCAATACTTTTGCATAGGGTAATTTTGAACTTTGATAAAAAAAATATATTCAACCATGAATTTTTAATTTTCCTTCCACATACAACTAAAACAACTTTATGAGATATTACTTACCAAATATCAGGCAAAATGGCGAACATAAACTCGAGTTATAACAGAAAATAACATGTATCCAATACTTATGCATGTCACTGTATATATATATAAAGTAGATTCACTGAAGCAACACAAACAAGACTTATCAACCACTTTAAAGAAAATACATATATACAAAATGCTTTGTCAATGAAAAATTTAAGTATATATATGTCATAAAATACACAAAATTTTCAGTCTTAGGATTGAAGGGATAATACCTTGATGGATTGCTCCATATTAATATTAATATCTTGTTCTAACTTCATCCTTTTTTCTGATGGTTCTCCATCACAAGAGTCTTCATCATCTGCAGAAAAAACTTTAAAAAAAAAATAAAATAAAATAAAATAAAAATAAATACACAACTGATTTGACGGGTTTTTAATTCACATGCTATTTGTAACTAAATAGAAGTTGGCAAAATAAAAACATAAATGACAGATCTTCACTTATAACAAATATTTCCATGAAGAAAGCCTTCTAAAGGTTTAGCAACTAAACAGAAAATATTTAATTTTGGTCATAATATGATTTTACAAATGAGAAATTCAGTAAATTCATTGTACTCAATGGCATAGGATTTTAAATACTATTATTTCCAATATTTTTTTTAATTGCATTTTTCTTGGAATTGACAATTTCATATGTAAAAACAGTTTTAAAGCATGCTATTATAATTCTTGAATGAGAGAAATTTCTTACTGGATTCATCACTCAAATCTTGATTACTCATATGAGTCATCAAGTGCACAGCATTGACAACTCTTGGAGCTGGTTTTGTAATAGCTGTCCCAACACTGACTGAATTTGACACAGCCAATGCCTCAGTAGCAGCAGTTGAAACATTATCATCTCCAGCAACAGTGACACCTGTTGTTTCTGTAAGAGCAACTGTTGGAACACCCACTTCATTCATTACAATCTGGAAAAAAAAAAAAAAAAAAATTAGTTTATTTACTTATTTTAATTTTTTATAAGTAAACATTTACTTCAATTCCAAAACACTTACTGCTGTTACATTCCCAGGAACATCAACAGATATTTCTTCTTGAACAGATTTTGATGTGCTGGCAGTAGAAACAACATTTGTGCCAACATTGTCTTCATTCATTCCTACCTATAGAAAAGAAAAAAGGGTTAAAGTAAAGTTTTTTTTTAGCTACTTGGATGACAAGCAAAATATAGTTGAGAATAAAATAAAATTTTAACATTAACATAGTTATTTGTAATCAGTACATTTTAAAACATTTTTAAAAATTCACTTCTGAGAGAAAAAGAACATTTTTTTAAAATTATGCAGCACAAACAAAAAACTGGTTTAAATTAGTTTTTTTTAAATTCTCCCAATTCATCTAAACAAATATTAAAAAAAACTAAATCCAAATTGTAAGCATGGAAATGGGTACTTCAACGTGGTGTAATGGTTAGCAAGCTTGTCTCGCTAGATCAATTATGATTGAATAATGAGTTCGATCCTCACTGGGTGGGTGCCCCATACTTTCGGCTTTGTGCTACATCCAAGCTATGCTTATAAAATCACTATAAGCATGAAAATGTAAAATTCTTTTATATTTAAAACATACATTCTTAACTATAGCAAATAGCACACATTCTTAACTATTGCAAATAGCACAATTGAAAGAAGCACCATGAAAAATATTAATTTGTTGTGAAAAGTTTTAGTTATATTCTTTTCCATCAATTGCTAAAGTAATTTTTTTAAAATCATTTGTAGAATTTATTGGTGTTATTGAAAAAAAAAGATCACAAATTGCTTACCATTTGAAGATGCACTGTTGTGTGCAGCTTTGATGACATAAGGGAGCAGCTGCTACACAACTAGTTGTGCACCATAAGGAACTGAATTTGATGATCAAAATTTATCACCATGGTATACAGCAAATCACCAGCTGCACTGACTAAAGAAATAAAAATGTAAGTGAATTTTAAACTGAAATACATTACATCTACCATTACCTCCACCTGCAATAATTTAAAAACATCCTTGTAATTGTACACTTTAGAAAATTTAGACTTAAACTCAATTATAAAGAAAAAAAAACAGTTAAAATTTTTGATTTATTCATAGTAAGAAATATTCACTTGTTTTTAATTAGTTTTAATGCTAGTTTAATAATGGACCTCAAAACAAAAGATTCAATTTTTCATAAGTTTATAAAATTCATTGTATGAATTTATCTATAAATATTGACTCATTTGTTACATAGAGTACATATATGTTACATATAATTCTGATGCTAAACTCAAAAATTTAGGTAAAAAAAAATAATAGTTTTTTAATATTTAAAAAGTAATTATAAAAAAAAATCTTAAAAGTGATTTTTTAACACATTTTAAGAAAGTAAAAATCTATAATCAAAGTTACACAGATAAAATACCCAAATTTATTTTTAAGTAAAATAATGTTCAAATTACGTACCACGAAAATGAATGAATTTGTCAACATTTTTAAAAATGAAAAATCCTTTCTTGAAGCTTTTATTTTAGTTTTAATTTCAAGCTAATAGATTAAATTTAATATTTTCAATATGCAAAATACTTTGTTGTGTTTCAAAACTAATTTAAATTGACTGAGAGGAGATTTTGTTTAAAAATTGCTAAAATTTTTGATTTTAGCCATCTTTTATCAAAGTGTAGAAAAAAATTTCCAAAAATAAAATATACCTTTCTGAAACTTTGAGGAACATTGGCTGATTTAAAGTTTCTGATTTGAAACCAATACTACTTACTTTTACTTTTTTATTTAAGGTGTTGACATGTTGGCAACTTGAATGATTGACGTTTATCTAAAGTTTTTCTATGGTGGGTATATCTGTAAAAAAATAAGTGAGGAATATAACATGAGTGCCTTTTTATCATTTTTAAGTACCAGTAATCTTAAAAATTTAGGAAAATATTTTCTGTAATCTAATGGTTTATTTAATTTTAGATATGTTGACTTTAAATTTACTATGTCATGTATGCACATCCATATCTACAAAAATTCAAAATTCTTTTTAAAATATTGATGTTTAATGATCTGTACTAAGCCTTTCCATTTATGATTAGTAAATATAGTTTTAACTTTATAACACTATCACCTAATACGGGGACAAAGTAAATACTAAAATTTCCTATACTAACCTCCCCCGACCCGAAAACCAAGATTTTAACCAAAATTTCGAACGTTAAATGATGAAAAAATATAATTTAATAATCAAAAAATCCTTTGGTCTTTCCCCTTAAATTAAGAGTCTTAATAAAGATTTTGATGATAAAATTGTTTTTAAGTTTGGGGCATTTTTTCATCATGGTAGCTATATTTTTAGCTTTTAGCAAGTCAGTGGAGTTACCATTAACTTAATGGCATTAAGGTATGTACCACCACTGATTAAAAAAAAAAAAAGATTTTCTCGTCAAAATCTTAGTTGTTATTAAAAGGAAAGCCCAGAGGAATTTTTTGATTATTAAAATTTAAATTATATTTTTTTTTCATCCTTTTTAGAACGTTCGAAATTTGGGTTAAAAATGAAATCTTTGGTCACCGAGCTGACGGTGGCCAAATTAGGAGGAAATTGACCTTAGATATCGCGTTTTAAAAAAATAACAGGATTATGCAAATGTTTATTGTTCATAAGAAAAAAAAATGTACATGGTGCAAGTCTTCACTTTCAACTGTTACATTAAAAGAAAGATTAATGATTCCTTAACAGATCATTTGCATATATTACCAACGCTACTCGAGTTTCATCCTTCATTACAATAATAGCAATTATAGTAGCACGTGATCAAAAATAAACAAATGAGATCCTTATTCCTGGTAAGTTTCCAATTAAAAAAAAAAATTATTGTCCGGACATTTAATAATAAAAGATAAATTATAGTATTACACCGAGCGGTTACAAATGGTAACTATAAATCACTAGCTCGAGTGAATCCTACCACGAGGAACTTTTTACATTATATATTTATTTATTTTACGTTAAAAAAACATTTCCGTAGGTCCAATAAATTAAATTATAATGCATACCAACGTTCGGTCGGATTTTATAGAAAACAGTAAAAACAAAAAGTCTTTCCATCTTTAAATTATATAGGATAGAGATGCTAAGATTCCCGTTTACCGAAACTGCTAATATAACCTTTCAAAATAAGATCGTTGTGTTCCGAACTATTATTTGGCGGAGTATAATTTGAAATATTTCGAGGAAAAAGTAAACAAACATCTATTCAGAGTAGCCGATAACTGTTGTATTTCTTCAATAAATCACGAAAAGTATTTTCTTTATGAACGTTAAAGATTAAGAAGTTTTTAATAAAGGTTCTCCACTCCTTCCAAAATCTACTTATTGATTCACCCTCTACAAAGAAAATAACTATTTCTCGAAAAACAATAAAAAATTTTGTTTTGATTTTTTTAAAAATATTAGTAAATATATAAACTAAACGAAAAATTAAAATTATAGTTAACTGAACAAACATTATGTAAAATAGGAAGTTTACTAACTCTGTTGTGTAAACTGTAAACTTAGTAAACACCTTAAGGCTTAAAATAAATAAAAAGCACGTGTTGCATGCAGCATGCTGAATAGATTTTAAAGAAAGACACTCATCATTGTAGTTAATAATGCAATGCAGATTTTAAAATGACATTGATATGGAATGGAGTCATCTATTTGTCAATAAACAGAAAAAAACTCATCAACTAACCATACACACACACATAAGTGATACATTTATTCAGTGAAACAAGCAGAACAATGTTGACACTCCAAGCGGAAGGAAAAAAAAATCATTCAGAAGAATTTTGTCTCCGAATGAAACTAAAAAATTCATAGAAAAAGAATTGAAGTTATGACATTAGTCATTATAAAAACCTCCTAAATGCTTGATATTTGAAAAAAGGTTACCGTTAATGATTTATAGAAATAATTAAATTCCGGTTGAAATGATTAAAATCAAAACCACGTTATGGTGAAATTGATAATTATAATAAAGTTAATGAATGTTATTAACTCAATCAGTTAAAACCTTTGAACATGAAGAAAACAAATCTTCAGTAAACTACAATTTACAAGTGAAGACTTTTTTTTTAATCGAAACTAAACAAAAGAAAAAGATTTTTGTGAAAAGGCGGTGGGGGGGAGCAGACGATAAAAAGGAAATATTTCAACTGGAGTATTGATTGAATATATGGCAAGAGAAAACAAAAAGTGAGTAATAATTCCTCCAAGTTCAAGTAGTATGAAACAACAGATCAAAGCCCTTTTTTTTTCTTTTTTTTTTTTTTTTAGTATGTAATTATTTAGACGTCTCAGAAAATGTTCACAAAAATTATCAATATACTGGAAACACCAAAAAATAGATGCAGTTTTTGAAAGATATTTTGAATATAACAGTTTCGTTTTAAGTTTTTATGTTAAAGATCTTTGTTGTTGGGGATGAACAAAAGTTAAAGTCACTAAGACCATTATATAAAAAAATAACAGTAGTTCTTAGATTTAGTCGCATTTTTAGTTAGAATTATATATTTGTTACTGACTTTTTGGACATCGAAGTGTTTGAAATCAACATTCGTACAAGTTTGTTTATCATTACACACAATCAGAATCATTGCAAGTAGAAAACGTGATATTTTGTTGTTGTCATGACTCGAAAATCAAAAATTGGCTCATTCAACGATTTGTGAACAATCATGTAGGGCTAGCAGAACCAGAGCATGTCTAAACAAGCTCTATTTGTGGTCCAGAAGGATGTCGATCGTAAAAAATAACAAAAATCCATCAACTTACACTTGAAGAAGACGTCTGCACACTTTGGCGCTACAAGAGTCAAATTTTGCGGCGAAATCACGTCTGCGTCTCGAGAAAAAGTGAATCGACGATAATGGCGTCTGGAAACGATAATCTGCGAGAACGGGCGAGCATTGCGCATGTCGGCTCTTCCGTCATATACGTTTACATCGACCGAGGTAATAATTGCTCTTACCCTCATTAGCTTCCCTCCCTTCTTACTTCTTTGGTAGAAAAAAAAAATGTCACAGTTTTCTCCCTTCTCCTTGAGGTGTTCCGAATCCAGAAAATATTTCAAGAAAATTGTCATTTTGGTCAAATTTTACGAATGTACATAAGTAAAACAGACATTGACGTTCATTGTTTTAGAATAAATTTTTCCCCTTCTAGCAATGTTTCTTTAAAAGATATTTTAGCTTCGGGTCTTTTGAAAATACGAATTATTTGACGTGTAGTGTACATGAATTTTGCTGAATGACTTATTATCAACATGTGACGTATTTTTTCAGTTTTCTCTATTTAATTCTATACATCTTTAAAAAAACTTTTTTTTATGTATTGTTGTATAGTATACATCACTCGATAATTTCATTGCTTATAGCAGAAGATTCCATGTTTTAAAAAATGAATCGTTAAAACTAAAAAAAGCTTACAAAAATGTCTACAATTATCAACTCCACTATTTTTAGAAATGTTTCTTTTGTTTTTAGTGTGTTGTAAACTGATTGGATATTTTTTTATTTATCCGTTCATGTAAGCTAAGATTGAATTTCTTTACGCTGTTTTAAATAGAAAGAAATTATTACACTTGTTAAAATAAATTACAGGATAATAGGTTTAAAAATTATGTCTTGTAACTCTTCTTGTTGCCCTTGACAAAATGTAAAAAAATGAAAACCTTTAGGAACTTAATCGCCTGCTTTGTACAAAGATACTTTTCAGTTCAATTTTTTTTTTAATTTTATTCCTTTTTCGTTACTTTGTTCATACATAAATTATTTACTCATTAGTTTATTTAAAAGAATAATTTGGAAAAGCTTTCTGCGTTTTAGCTTTCTTTACCCAATTCTAGTGAAGCTATTTTGTGGTCTAAATATTTGGTTTGTGTGACGACTCGAAAAAATGTAAGTTTAAAAAAAATGATTCATTAAATTTATGGATGCTTTTAGTTTTAAATGGTTTCATTTTATCGCTTTTTGAGTAATTTCAGCTAAGTTTGATCAAAAATTAAACTTATTTTCTTTTTATTCTTCTTAGATATCTTATTGATTTTTGAACGATATTACACACATCACTATTAGAAATTTAATTTCGTCTGTTATACATTTTTCTTTCTCAGCAAATAACTTAAAGACCGTCAATAATTCATGACCGGTTCTTCATTAAGGCATTCTCTATTATTTCTTTTTTGTCCTTCAAATGTCGCCCATAATGCAAAAATATGAGACCAAAGGATTATATTCGGTAAAAAAAAAGTCGAAAATAATCATTCGCGCAATACTACATTTTCTTATAAAATTTCAAATCATCTTCCCTTATTTTCAATTATTAGTAGAATATATGAAGTATTGAAAGGAAAATCAAACTAAATAATTTCGAAGATACTACAGAAACTGCTTTCTCTTGAGAAGGACTTTTACAGTTAAAGGCGAAAGGCAAACACTTCCATTTTTTGAAGGGAAGAAACTCTACTTTCCGGTTAAGTTTTACGTTAGTTTCAGATTACGAAACTACATTGAAAAATTTATAGTGTCATATAAACAATCATGATTGTTAATAAAAACCTGGAATAGAAAACCATGCGATTAATAAATTTGTCTATTACCATAAGTGTTTACTATTTAAATCCAGATTGGGCACAGTGCAACAGAAAGGGAGAAAAATTATCAATTTCCTATTTGGAGAAAAAAAATTGCAAAGTAATGAAAAAGATTTAAGAAATTTAAACATGTCCTGTTCATTCTGGAAATGTGAATATTCATGATGAAAAAATTGATTAAATGAATGGAATTCGTGTGAATTAACAGTCAGAAATATATGATTACTTCTTAGAATATTACCATACTATTTTATAATGTATGATAATTACAAATGTAAAACTAGTGTTTTACTTTTTCTGTCAACATCCAACATTTTCTTTTTATTTTTGACATTTACTTCTAACTATTCACGTGTATGTTCAATTATATATATATTCTATTTATACGTTATTTTTATAGATACAAATATTTAAATGCTACATTTATTTACTGGCCTGAATAATTAATGTTAGGATATACTTCGAGTAGATATGATCATTCAAGAAAAATTCATGGGAAATTTGTTGTTTAAACAGTAATTTGACTTTGCTAACCAGACACTTCTTCTGTAGCTTAATGGCATAGCATTTCAGGCCAAATGACAGTTCCATGTAGGATACAGATTTGATTCCTGTTGGAGGACACATTTTTTCTCTGAAATTTCTCAGACAGGCCGGTAAATGTAGTTAATACTGTTTATTATAAACAGAGCATTTACTTAAATATTTGTATCTATAAAAATAACATAAGCAGAAAATATATTAAAATAATTGTGTGTACCAGTTAAAATGGTGGTACAATAAAAGTGATTTTTGAACTTAGTTTTTTGTCATCAAAAATTGCTGGTATCATGGTATTCTATACTACAGGCCTACTCATGGTGCAACTAAGGGCCAGAACTGGAGGCCTATTTCAAATGATTCTTGCTTCACTGAGAGTGATGTAGTTTAGGTTTCCCAGCTGTAGTCAGCTTAAGAATTTAAAAAAAAAAAATCTTTGTATATAAAAATACTTGGAATAACTTTGGCATATTTAATTGAAATAAGTATAAGATATAATTATTTTATGTTTATTGAAAAGCAAATTTTTTGTGCTAAATTCACTAAGAAATGTAATATCGGAATCTTGGTCATGTCACTTCTTTTTGGTGTCATGCAGTATTATGGACTTTATAAATAATTACACAAATTGAAAATTAGTTCCCTTCATAAGTTGAAGAAAGCATACCAGTCATGTAACACAGTGATGGGGGAATTTGCTTCACACAAGATGTTCAATATAGTAATTATAAATCATAAAATTTAATACAACTTCACATTTTCAGGTTCATTCCTCCACTTTATACAGTGTTGAACTCTGCACTTTGCATTTAATAACCAACAAAGAACATGTAAATAATATTTAATTTATTCCTGTTATATTTATAGTTATTGTATTGAATAAAAAGTTTCTGGAATGGATTATGTTTATGTATTTAACACAAGATCATATAACTTTTATATATAAAAATGTTTTGATGTTTGAAAAATGAACTTTTTTTTTAATTTAAATTGATTCCATGGATAATTTTTCACCTTACTGTAAGTAGGTGTCTGGAAACAGCCTATGAGATTTTGGGCTGCTTGCAGTTCTCTATCAAAGATGACATGCTTGTGGGCTTATAGTCTGGGGATACTGGTCATTGAAAGTTTCTTTGAATGCATGTGAAATATCAGTTCAGAAAACAACATATCCATTCTGCAGGAAGGACTTCTAATATTCACTGGTGGTTAGTTGAATGAAAATGAGCTGGAGGATGGAAATTCATGCAACATGACAATAAATATTCATGAAAGTAAGTCCAAATATATTAAGCAATACTCATAAGAAGGTCAGTCTTCTGATATAAATTCTTGGGTCAAATAGCTCAGGATTGTTCAATAACAAAACTGAGATATTTGTGATCGTATAAAAGATGTATAGAAGACGTTCAACAAAAGATTTGATTTATGTTTTCAATGCAGCCTGGTCAAATATGCCACAAGATTCATGTTAGCAAGAATCCAGCCTTCTTAATTTATACAAAAACATCTTGTTTTTTACTTGTCTGAATTTTATTAAAAAAGATGTTTTAATCATGGCATATGATTTATTTGAATTAATATCCTTATCTTTTATCTTCAAAGTGTGGGTAAAAACAACAAAGTGAAATTAATATATTTTAAAGAAAATTTCTTCAACTTAGTTTATATTTAGTTTAGAAATATTTATTTAAATATTTAACAAACTCATCTTTATAGCACAAAATTTTGAGAATATTTGTTTTTTCACGTTTGTCTATTATAACAATAGAAATATAACTTTAAAACCTATTGACAAAGTTGAAAATAACTGCACTTCTTTTTCAAACATTGAACTTGCAAAAACAAAAGTTAGAATGTCTGACCATCATCTGCTATGGTTGAAAAAAAACTTGACTAATTTGATTTGCATGTTTCTTTGTGGCTTTACTGATATGCTAAATGTAGTCTTTAAAGACTTTAATTCTATTGGTGTCTCTAGATGTTAAGGTTTAACTGTATAAGTGAAAGTAGAAATCACTACACTTGGTTAGAGCTAATCTAAGTCACACACTAGTTCCTTTCTGTTAAGATTAGCTGTAACATTCTCTGAATCATTTTTACCATCATTTAGCAACAAAGGTATTATCATATTAATAGAGGTTGTACAATCATGAAACCAGAAGGATATTGCTGTAACATAATACCAATTCACAAAAGTGGGACAGATGAGAAGATCTGGAAAGCGGTTTAGATTTCTGCTGTCTGCACAAACGCTTTACTTCTTTGTTAGCTGGTATATCCCACGAAGCATTTTATTTATCGTGTCATCTCTAACCTTGAACTGCAGAAATTGTATTTAATTGCTTGTGCTAGGAAAATTGGTTCACACACAGACAATTTTTCTCAACAGAATTCATCTTGCAAGTTTATAAATCTACCATTCGTCCTTGCATTGAATATTGCTGTTATACCTGGTCTGGTGCTCCCGCTACATATCTTGAGATTCTCTACAAAATCCAAACGAGTATCTGTAATATTATCGGTCCTGACCTAGCATCTCGACTTCAGTCACTTACCCATTACCATGACATGGCACTTCCTGTGTCTTTTCCATAAATATTTTTATGGCAATTGTTCTAAGTCTTCCTCCTTGGTACTTTGACTGCATGTATTACTACTCAATTAATAACTAGATCTCATTGTTTTTCTGTTGAACTAGCTAGATGTACCCATATGTTCTATTCTAACAGGTTATTTTCTTGTATGTCTATGGAACTCACGTGTGGTTTCTTGCTTCCCTGCTACCTACAATCTTAAAAGAATGTAATGTTAATTGCTACCTGTTTTCCTGAATCCTGTCCTTTCTCCTCACTAAAGTCTTTTTCATTCTCTTTCCCTCCCAGTAACCCCTTGCATCTTAGTGGCAGTATCACCTTGCTTGGGGTGAAGTGATTTTTGAAAAGTATTCA